TACAATGAAAATTTTACATTGGGACGTGTTTTTATGTAGCCGATATTTACGTAATACCGGAAATACGTAAAAGTAATTGACAGTGTAAATTAAGGATAACATACGGTAAAATAAAATAACATGATAAAAGAACATAATAAAAGAAAACAAATGGAAACAATTAATATGTTTCTTGGCGGATGTTCAGACCATTAGGATCGATTGTTCTGCCTTTTTGAATTAAAAGAGCTTCCCTGGCCTTACGGATAGAGTCTCGGTTCGAAAAGATTTTTTCGATGGGGATTAATTGCATGTCGTTAGCAGTGTGGTTAGGAGAGGACAGCAAATGTTCGGCCCTACCTCCCGTCCTCTATAGGTAATGAACCCTGGCGCCCGTCCGAGTTCAACCCCTGTACTGTGCGCGAAGAAAATAGATTTCAGGAACTGGCTGATTTTCTTCAGAATGGTGCAATACACATTCGAAAAGTGTAGAGAAACGTCTTGCAAAAGCGCTAACAGCTGTTGCAGTAATAAATTGAAATATTTGCAAGAAAGATATACTGTGCAATTCACTGGCGATGACACGTCAATGGCACAGCAAAGACGATGGGTCGAACTAAAACAAGCGAAGTGATTCTGTGAGAACCATTGGGGAGCTCACACTGGGATTTATTCAGCAGGCTTCCAAATGCTTTCTTCCAATCCCGGAGTATTTATAACATAGCCAAGAAAATTGTGTGATCAATCAGAAACGTCACGACTGGTATGGGAAATAAAAGTCGCGGCTGTACGAAACTAACATCGGTTTCTCTTTCGATTCAGATCAAAGTCAAAGTTTAACTGTTCAGAATCACGTAAGAACTACGTTAGACTCACACAGTTTTTCTAAGGGTTTGGAAACCTACAGCGTGACAAACATTCGGTGAAATATAACCATGAAATGCGGACCGGTTAGGGAACGTCCTTATCTCTTAGAAAACCAAGTTGCGGCTTAAAACGTGTGACAATAGGAAGGCGGTAATTTTCGCGCGGCTTCAAAAATACAGGTCCAATTTTCAATCGATGGAAGCCATTTTTTCTGGTTAAACTCTTTAGACTCTTTTTATAATCACATTCAAAGCATCGGCCAATTCCTAATATGAGTAATAAAAAGCTCAGTTTATATCCTTTGAGTTGATGGACTAAACGTTAACTGAGAAGTCGTATCTACGAAAGGATCAAACTTTAGAACAATGAATCGTTCAAAGAAAAACGCCACAAGAGTACACCTACGCACGGGGGCCATTAAGTCCGAAAACTGCGACAGTTATGTTGCTCTTATGATAAACGTGAAGCATTGAAGAGAGTAGGAGACAAACTGGATGTACGGAATAAGCACAACTTACGAAAAACATTCCTGCCTAAGGTCAAACATTAGCGGGCTAAAGCATGCGTGGCGCTTGTGTAGGTCATGAAATTACCCTCCAGCTGATCAGGTTATGCAGATCAGCCGTCGGTCGATCATCTTTTAACTTTCATTCATGGATTTCAATTCAATTCTAGTAGTGACTCCGCTGTATTGCAGGCGCATATATAGTTTGACGTCGCCAGGACAACGTGTTGCGAGAGTGCGAGTGATCGGGGGAGGTCGAGAAAGGGTTCATGGCATCATGTGACTGGAAGTTCAAATAACTCAGATTAATTGTGTGTTAAATGTCCGTTTCATTTGTTGGTATGGAAAA